TGCCTTCCAGTAGAAGTGGTTTCCTTCCGATTTCTTCCTTGTGAGGTCTTCCAAAGCATTCACCATCGCAGAACCCATGAAGAGCAATGAAAGCATTTACTTACCTCTGTAGGAATGGGGGATTCTTGTGCTGGCCTTTTTTTCCTTCGAGAAGTTACATGCTGCCAGTTCTCTTCCTTGTCCTGTACTGGTGTCTTTTCTACACTCAAACTGCTTGTGAGTGAGGAAGCATTGCCTCCCAGAGGCAGCAGGGCTCTTGTGTGAATTTCCCAGGTTACTGAGTGGGGGCTCGAGACGAGGAGTCCTGTGGCACTTTATAGACTAACTGAAGTGTAGGAGCATAAGCTTTCGTGGGCAAAGACCCACTTCGTCAGATGCATCCTACACTCCAGTTAGTCTATAAGGTGCCACAGGACTCCTCGTCGCTTTTGCAGATTCAGACTAACACGGCTACCCCTCTGAGAGGGAACCCCAGATATTTAACCCAGCCATAGCTGCAGCTGACACTACGTGGCAAAAGGATTACATTAACATCTTTTTATTGAAATGCTTTCTTTTGTCTGCAGCAGTAGAGTATAAGAGCAATTGTAGGATCTGATCCTGCCAACACTTACTTACGTAAATTTATTAATTCAGATAATCCTGTTGAAGTGAGCAGGGTAAATTTACTCATATCAGTAAATGACTTCAGGATTAGGCCCCTTTCTTATGGCTCCCAATATGCAAATAATTACATGAGTGCTTAAAGTTACATATGTCAATAATTCTGCTGACTTCAGGTGGCACACTTATGTGAGAGAAGTTAAAAACATATATATGTATATGTTTGCAAGATCAGATGCCATTACAGGGAATACAGCTTTGAACTTGTTGGAAATCTCCAGCTACAGTAACAAAATATAAAAAACTACTAATGGATATGTTGCTTAGAATAGGCATTCTCAAACTTCATTGCACTGCAACCCCCTTGTGACAACAAAAATTATTGCACAACCCTAAAGGAGCGGGGAGTCTAAGCTTGCCCAAGCCCCACCACTGTGGGCTAGGTCAAAGTCCAAGCTGAAGCACATTGCCCTGGGCAGGGGTGGGAAGAGGGCAAAGCCATCGAGGGCTGAAGCCACTGAGCTTTGTCTTTGGCCCCCACTGATGAGAATTTGGCTTTGAACCTCAGCAACAGACTCACTTTGAAGTCCTGACCCATAGTTTGAAAACTGCTAGCTTAAAGACAGGACAAAGTAGAGAGAAAGGATGGTTTTGGAATTAGAATGGTAGTCAGGGACTTGGGAGATTTACACATTCAGGGTATGTCTACACTACATGGCTCCATCGACGGAGCCATGTAGATTTGTTTATTGGGCAAAGGGAAATGAAGTGGCGATTTAAATTTACCGCCCCGGTAAACCTCATCCCACAAGGAATAACGGAGTGGTCGACAAAGGGCTTTGATGTCGACCGCGGAGCATCCAGACTAGTGCGCTGAGCCGACAAACAGCTGATCAGCTGTTTGTTGGTTCAGCGTGGCAGCCATTTAAATTTAAATGAAGCGGCGATTATTTAAATTGCCGCTTCATTTCCCTTTGCCTACAACCCTAATTTACATGGCTCTGTCGATGGAGCCATGTAGTCTAGACACAGCCTCAGTTCCCAATTCTGCCTTTGGCTTCCTATATAACATTAAATATCTCTAATAATAGCACCTCCCTACCTCATAGGTGTTGTGAGGAAAATTATATTGATTATGGGGCACTCACATACTATGGTGATCTGGACCATATCACTGACTGTGGGAATGTGAGATCATTTCTGTTATTGTACAATTTGTGTGTATGTGCGTCAGTTTAATGTTCTAAAGCAGGGCTACTCAACACATGGCCTATGGCCCGTTTCTTTGTAGGCCGTGGTACAGTTTGGGTTTACGCGGGGCTCAATGCATGGCCCGCGGGTGGGATCCTTTGAACATGGCCTTCACTGGGAATACGCTCTTCAATGGCGAGGCATCTCCCAGGTGGGTGAGCAATGAAAGATGCAAGTGGATGGGCTGGCTGCAACAGGTGGGTTCAGAGTGTCGGCATTTCTAGCTCCCAGAGAGGAGGTGCCAGGAGTGCCAGGGCATTGTGTGAAATAAGCTATTTGCATATATATTTGCATGTATATGCAACCACACTTAAGTTGTGGCCCTCGGCATGTGCTGTTCTAAAGCAAAGTCAGCATGCTGCTGTGCTCACCAAAGGAATAAATTGATTGTATTTGCACAGGGAGATGCGACACCTCCTAAATTGGAAATATTAAATATAGTTAGAAAAAAACAATTTTGAGACAATAGCTTATATAAGCCAATATAAATTTGCTTCTATGATTAAATGTAAAAATAATGTTGAAATACAGAATTCCATGTGGATGATCACTTTCATTTTGTTTTTTTTTTAAAAGATAAAATAATACAGTTGAAGAAATACATCACATTTCTGGAGCAGATCATATTGAAAATTGGCTCTTCTGCCTTTCAATTGTATTCCGGTAGCTATCGAGGTACAAGAAAGTAGCAATAATAGAAATCACATACACACAATGAGAAAAGGGAACACTACTACTGCTACAAAACACAGGCTCATGATGCAATGCATAGTTAAGTAAATCATTTTGGCAAAACACCAGTTCTTCTGAAGTATTTTCTGACTATCTTTCATCTCTTTACTGGGCAAGAAAAACAATTTTAGAAAAGTTATTTTACAGTATTTTCAGGTTGAATAATTATGAAAGATAGGATTCTTGCTGTTTGGATCCATGTAGCTATGAAAGTAACAAAGAGCATTGAAACTATTGCTATAATTCCTTCATGGGATTGTCGTAACTATACACGGTCACATGATTTTTTGCCATACTGATAGTTAGTCTACCATCCCATGTATGGATATAGAGAGTCTTTTAGCTGGAACTATAGCACTGTGCTTTATACTTGCTTATTAAGTATGTTACACAAAGTATCTGTCTATCCATCACACAAGAACCATAAGAATGATTAAAGGATTAGAAACCACCTTATAGTGATAGGCTCAAGGAGCTTAATCTACAGAGTTTAACAAAGAAAAAGCTAAGGCCTAGCTTGATCAGTTTATATAAATACTTACATGGCGAACAAAATTTTCATAACATGTTCTTCAACCTAGCAGACAAATGTATATCATGATACAGTGCCTGAAAACATGTTTTACCTGGATTGTCTGCTAGGTAATTGACCGGAATAATTTACCTGGGAGTGTGGTGGATTCTCCATCACTGGCTCTGTGATGGATAAGAGGAGTGCTGGCTAGCACCCGGTGACTAAAGGGTTAAACTCAGGTAGCTAGCAAGGGTGTTGGCAGGGAGTGAGAAGAACCAATGGGCATACAGTAATGAAATCTGAATTGTATACGATAACTTGCCTGCTTTCTTTGTGTGGGAGAGTTAAACCAGGATTAGAGAGACACAGAATGATTTAAATCCAGGGAGGACTACCATGCCTCCAAGGAATTTGGGGCATGGAAGTGGACTGAACCAAGAGAGATCATGAGAAAAAGTGAATCTAGTTATGATCAGGGTATTTTTCTTTATTTTGTGGTTTGGTTTGAACTACTCTGTTTGAATCTATGCCTCCCCTTCCCCATTTACCATCTAAGAATTGTTCCCAGAGATTTTCCATTTTGTTTTCCTTGGTTGCACTGTAACATCTAGCAACCAAGTGTGCGTTAGCCTTTGTTGTGCTAATAAAAATCACTTTTTTAAGGTGATGATTTGATTCTTTTGTCCTGGAAAGTAACAAGGGGCTGTGTGTGTGTATTTGCTTGCCTGAGACTGGGTGGTCAGCTACCAGAGACTGCAGCTTGTTTTTCTCTTTTCTTTTTTCAAGCTCTTTTGGGGTGAAAGAGCTTGGGATGCCCCATGTGGGAGAATTCAAGTGTTCCCCCCTGGTTTTAGGGATAAGTCACTTGATGGTGGGAGCTACCTCCCAAACTCAGTGAATCTGTGACTCTGGGGGAGTTTTTGTAACCAGAGCCTGCAGAGGCAAGGTATATTTAAAGTCTTCGCTGGCCCCCACCTTCTGCACTCAGAGTGCCAGAATGGGGAACTGTCCTGACAGGCTCTTTAAAAACAACATTAAATTAGTGCAAATCTTTTAGAAAAACAACCAAAGAGGATCTAATTGAGGGAAGTCCTATGTGTTATATGAGAGATTAGTCTGCACCACACTGGTCCATTTAGAGCTGATAAACGTATGTATCTATAGCAGGCCCGGCCTGTGGAGCGTGGGCCTGCCCCCGGGGTGCTCGGCGCATGCGCAGGCCAGTCATGGCCGCTGGCGCGCAACCTGGGGCCTGCCCCTGGGGCGTACAGCGCATGCGCTGCCCAGCCTGGCTGGACCACACGATTAGTCGATAAGAGGAGGCTCGCTCTAGGACTGCTGCACCTCTGCATTTTAAATGTGCTGAGCGCCCCACTTACACTTACAATGCAGAGTCGCAGTGCTCCCAGACCGGTGCAAGCCGGGACTGCTTGATCCGAGTTCAGCAGCCCCTGTTCACAGTGGCCAGGGCTGGCTGCGGCAAGCCACCCCGCGGACCGGGGCTGCTATCAGAGCAGCCTCTCCTACCTTTCCCCAGCTGGCTCTGAGAGGCAGCAGTGGGGCGGCAGGAGGCACTGCAGACAGGGTGCTGCGGGGAACCGTTGTTTAAGTCTGCTCTCCCCAGCACCAGCTCCTGTTCACTCCCTTGACAGAGGCAGCAGGGAAGAAGCACTCGTGGGCTGCTGCTCTCACCCCGGAACTGACCGCATCATACTGAGACTAGAGGACTCAGAGCGTGTGTCACACTGCGGGATGCTAACCAGTATCCCTCGCAGCGCAACTGCCCTGACTAAAGATGGCGCCTGGTCACACCCTCCTTCGCTCTTGTATTAAATATGGCGGCTGCGCACGCTGCCCGTTTTCATGCCCTCACTCAAGATGGCTACTGCCCACATTCGCTACCTTCTTTGTTCTTAGAGGTGAAAGCTGCTGGCCTTGGTTGCCGCAAAAGTTTGCCCTTAGTCAAGCTGGCGTATGCAGCATTTGCCCTCAGCAAAGATGGCGGCGCCCCATTAGCTTTCTATCGTGCCCTCAGCACGTACCATTGCAGAGCGGCCTAAGTGGCTTCACAGTCGGATATACAAGATGGCGGAAGCGGTTGCGGCCGTTTGAATTCCAACGAAGCCGCCAAACTCGGACAATAACAACCAGAGCCGCCACCGCCGCCGGAGGGTCCCTGCGGGGGTCGCACCGCCATGGACTCGCTGCCGGGGGAGGACCTCACCCTGCCCGTGGAGTTTAGCGGCAGGTAGGAGCGGGGTGGGACGGGGCAGGCAGCCGGGACCGTTAGGGCGTCCGGCGTGGGCGAGGCTGTTTGAGATCCCCCCCCCCACTGGGGTCTGGCCTGCGGAGCGGAGTGGCGCTCGGCATCACCCCCACGCGTTCCTCCAAGCCAGACCGACTGTGCATGTGTGGAAATCCGAGTACCCCTTTCCCCCCGGCGAGACCGGGGGCGCTCGGGATTCCCCCTCCCCACACACTCGGGTCTGGTCACCTCTTGCTGGAGCTGTCTGCTGGTGATTGAAGCCCCCAGAGTTTGGCTGTGGCTTGGGCCTCACACACAGGGGCAGGAGTACTGCAGCTTGGGGTTCATACCCCCACCTCCCATGTGGCTGTTTGTCTCTTTGTATCTTTTCTAATATTGGGGAAGGGGTGCGAAGCTGTTACCTGGATCCCTTCCCTCCCTTTCGGTAGCTTCAGGGGTTAGCGGAGTTAGTCTGTACAGGATAAACTTAAAAAACAACAAATGGTCTGGTAGCACTTTATAGATTAACAAAACATGTTTTGGTGTTTGCCGTGTATGGTGTGTTGGGGAGAGACACTGGAAGTACTCAGGAAGGAGGGACTTTTTGTGGGGCTTCTAAACTTTCCATCACTGAAATGCCTCCTGTGTCTCACTCTTAGCGTCAGTATTTCCAGACTGCCAGATGTCTCCAGAGAAGAACCTTGTATTGGCGTAGGAGGTAATGGAGGTAAGGGCAGCTAATGTGATGGCACAAAAGACGTGGTCAAATGAACACTTGAAATGTTCATTTCAGGAGAGTGCAAAGTTAGAAGATAAACATCTTATTTGCAAGAGCTTGTCTAGAGAACAGCCAAACTTGTTCTTACAGCACTGTAGTCTAATAAACACATTTCTGTAATGTTCCTGTGGTAAAAACTTATTGTTTCAAACGATTAACCCACAGTATTTGCTAGGCAAATATTGCAGCACTGAGAATCTGAAAGTGAAAATAACTACATGGTGAAACTGAATAAATTACCCAGCTGGTAGAAGTGTCAAAAGTTAATAAAGATCATAAATAGCGAAAAGTAAGTTCAGTTCATAAGAATGGCCTTACTGGGTGAGACCAAAGGTCCATCCAGCCCAGTACCCTGTCTGCTGACAGTGGCCAATGCCAGGTGCCCCAGAGGGAGTGAACTGAACAGGTAATGCTCAAGCAATCTCTCTCTTGACATCCATCTCCACCTCTGACAAACAGAGGCTAGGGACACCATTCCTTACCCGTCCCGGCTAATAGCCATTAATGGACTTAACCTCCATGAATTTATCTAGTTCTCTTTTAAACCCTGTTATAATCCTAGCCTTCACACTTAACAGTTCACTTTTAATAGATGTTAGTAACAGGCAAATAAACTTCTTTATTTGCAACATATAATTTTTATAAGTATAATGTCCCTTTAAGAAAACCAACAAACCGTATAAACTGAAGCTACTGGTACAGGTTGAACCGCTTTAGTCCAGCATCCAAGAGCTTTGACCTGTTCCGAAGCAGAGAATTTGCCGAACCATGGGTGTTGAGTATTGTCTAGGACAGGGGTGGCCAACCACTTAGAGACAAAGAGCCAAAATAGCGGTGAATAGAATACAAAGAGCCACGTATTGTATATTTATTTTTTATATATTTATATAGAGAAAGATCGATATAGTACACAACATGTAGTGATAAAAACAACATTACAAGACATTTCAGACAAAAACCAATACAAAAGTCTCTAGTAATTTAAATTCATAGATCTTCGGAGGACTTGAGAAGGAAAAAACATCAAATAAAAAAAAACCTTTAAAAATACAGTAAATTCTCTCTCACAAAAAAGCATTCCCACTATGTATTTGAAATTTAACACTACTGCCGTATTATGTCCTGTGATTTTTTTTTTAAATCAAACTGCACTGAGATTGTAATTGTAATTTAGCACAATTTGAAGTGCCTGTCCCAGACTGCAAATATGAGAGGTTCAAAAACATCTCAGAATAATTGCTTCAGCGTGGCAAACAATAGCCTTTGAATATTCTTTAAAGAAACATTGTAAATCAGGTACATGCTGATTCTTTTTTTGCCCTAGAATTTAAATAGGACATCTGTGTTGGCTGCCTTATTCTGCATCCACGGAGACTTTGAGCTTAAGGTGCTTCGTGCCCTCCCCTCCTCCCCCCCCACAATGCCCCTCCCTCCCCAGGGCCAGGCATTCCCAGCTCCCCCTTCCCTCCCCTGCTCTAACCCAATGCTCCCCCCAGCCAGGCATTCCCATCCCCCAGCTCTAACCCAACCTTCCTTCTACTTTGAGCTTAAGGTGCTTCGTGCCCTCCCCTCCTCCCCCCCCACAATGCCCCTCCCTCCCCAGGGCCAGGCATTCCCAGTTCCCCCTTCCCTCCCCTGCTCCAGCCCAATGCTCCCCAGAGCCAGGCATTCCCATCCCCCAGCTCTAACCCAATGCCTTCCTTCTCCTCCAGAGCCAGCCCCCTCCCCGCTCTAACCCAATCCTCCTCCCCTCTCCTAGAGCCAAGCACCGCCCCCCAGCTC